TCTGCCTCGACCTGGAGGAGAATTCCTTATTCCATATTTTCATTAGTTATAATTACACATACTTTATTTAAACCTTTTATTCCGAATTTTTATTTACCCAATTCTTTATTACACCCAGCAATGAATTCTGCTCTTGGGAGGCAGAACCGAAGCAGCAAGCAGGCTGTAAAACTAGATCAGGGCTGACAGGTGTTCCTCACTCCGTGGCCTTGGGCTAGCACAGAGAAGCCTATGAAAGAATCCTCTCCCCCAGGATCCGTGGCAGAGCCAGGCCCGGCAGCGCCCAGAGGGACCGTGAGGTACCGGGACAGGGGCAGCAGCAGGGCTGGGGCAGGGTGAACTCTGCTGCTGCCCTTCCATGGGCTACAACCTGCTGCTCAGGGCTGGCAAGCCACTGCTCTCCTTACCTTCTGCAGTTTGCTTTGACACTTAGTGCACAGGTGCATCTTCCCATCACCTGAAGAGCTCGGTGGCCCCAAATGTGCCAGCCCTGTGCTGGTGGCTGGTGATGTCTGTGTGGGCTATCCAGGGGTGAGCACTGGCCACTGGGCAGCGGGGTCAGCTTGAGATCGGTGGCTGCATGCCATGTAAATGTGAGGCCTGTGGGGGAACTGAGGCAGCTGGGAGTTCTGAGCCAAGATTTGGGAAACGGTGCCCACAGGTGCTGGTGGGTGCCTGAAGTTCCTATGGTAGCTCAGGCACCACAGTGGGTTCTCAGTCCTGGGGATGTGGGGGCCAGTAAGGAGGGGGGAGAGAGAACTGCTCTTGCCACTGCTTGTGTCTCCCCTGCTTCCAAGCAGGCTACACCCCCTGTCCCTGTCCACACTCTCTTTTTGTCTCAATTTCTCACTTTTGAGACCTGCATTAAATTTCTCCCAGTCCTCGGGGAACTCAGAAGGGAATTCAGGTGCTGTAGGTAAAAGCTGCAGCGTACAAGCAGCATTTCTGCTGGAGGGGTTTGTGTCACAACAGCTCAGCAACTCACTGATACCCTTGGGTATGCAAGAGGTACCTGTGCAAACCCAGTGCAGCAAAGGGAAGCCATGGAGGAGGAGGATTTGCTGCCGAGGCAAGCATCTTGAGCCACTTGTAAAATTCTCTGTGTTTAAGGGTCTCTGTGGCTTTCGATGGAACGTTCCTCTGTCTAGGACAAAAGAAGTAAGCTGAATTTATGGTCTCTTCTACAAACCTTTCTGTTTCAGTTTAGTGGCATCAGTGTGGCTCTTTTTTAATCCTGAATTGTGTCCTTCATGTGTATCTTGCAATTCTGAACTGTTTGTATATACAAACTGAAAAGCAAAAACCAGAAACATTGTGTCCACTTTTGAGATAAAATTCGACCTCGGGGCAAGGCAGAATAGATCCCTCCAGCCTCAGGGATGCAGAGGAAGTTTCTAGGAGCTAGTAGCTGTGCCCACCTCCTGCCAGCACCAAAGGGAGCAAGGCAGCAGCACAGATTGCTGTCCAGAGCCAGCAGCCTGTTCCTCCTCGAGTCCTGCAGGTGCCCCGTGGGACAGGGACGCGCTGCTGCTGGCACTGGGCATTCCTGGGGCAGAGCTGGCCTGGCCCTGAGCTGCCTTTGGAGCTTGGAGCAGACATCTGCATCTTTGCAGAACCAAAACTATGCAGCCCAGAGTAAGCAAATGTAACAATTTTCCAGATTCCTTCCTCTCCCTTCCAAAAGGGTTGTTTTGAGTGTAAAACAAAGCAGTCCATTTAAAACAAAAGACTAATGAATATGGCAGCCCTTTCTCTTTTGCAAGTTTAAACACCTCATCTTTCCTCAAAGAACAGCTCTAAATCATTTTATTTGCAAGCCCTAAGCAAGAATTTATATTCATGGTAGGACACTTATTGAGTTAATTTATTTAAGGCTGGGGCATAATTTCTAATAGTGGAGGAGTCCCTAGGCCCAGTGCAATTGTCTCCCTGATAGGGCATTAATATTTAAAGGGGTTATAATACTCTGTCAATTGATCTGTGTCTTTTAGGAAGTACCTTAGCAGTTATTGATGGTCACTTGTGTGAAGGATTAGCTTAAATAAAGCTGGTACTTGGCAGACCAGTGCCTGCCCCCAGCCAAGTCCCATGGCCAGGCAGGGAGGGGCCCAGGCTCTGGGGCAGTGGATCCCAATGGGATGTAGAGAATGCGGAGGGAAAGAAAGCAATGCACATCTGGAGGCTGCTCCACAGTGCTGGGCTCAGACAGCGACAGCAGGAGTGCTGCAGTGCCTTTGTGAGGCTGCCAGTGCTGATGCTGGCAGCATCTCCTGGAGACCTGTGAGCCTGGTATGATCTGAGCGAGGAGCTCTTGGTAAGTGCTCTGCAGAAGACTTGCTCATCTTGACAGATAAGTCTGTTACTGATGACACTCAAGACAAATAACTTGACCTCTGAGTACCTTAATTTCTCTGTTCTTCAAAGTGGGGAACATTTTTGCGATTTCTTGAGTGATTTAAAACGAGGACAGTTCAGATTTTAAAAAAATTCTTGCTTGTTTTACTACTGTATGAAATTCCACTTTGCACTAAGAAACATAGTGCTGAATGGCCATTAAAAATTAGGTAGTATGGAAACCAGTCCAGATGAAATACTGAAATTCTTTGTGCTTATTGTAGATATTGAGCATTTATTGAGGAAAACTGAATGTTGGCATGGAAGGACATGTGCTGCCTCCAAGAGCGAAATAAGTGTGTGGGGTTAATGTGGGCTGTGGAGGTGCTCAGGACAGAATGTGGCTGGTTTCCCCTAAAACTTCCTGTGGTGAGGAGCGTTTCACTGCCCTGCAAAAACGCAGACTAACAGATGTGCAAGATGAATGATTGTGTCTGAGCTGTGCTCCTCCAGGCCCTATCTCCTATTTTTTCTTTGCTGCTCATCTGTCAGCGGATTGTCAAACCTTCAATTAAGGCGTCACTGGCAGCTCCTTTCACCCTCACTCCCTCTGCTCAGCCCCGCCGGATCCTTTCCGTCCTGGGCAGGTGCTGCAGAGGCAGATGCTCAGCCAGAGTGGAGATACAAAAAAGCGACCTGCCCATCACTCCTTTCCTTCTGGGAGAGGTCAGCGAGTTCCTGCCGCTTCTCGCCGGCAGGGCTGGCCCGGGGCACGCAGCGACTGCTGGCACTGATTGTGCTGTGCCTGCCAGGGACTGCGGGGGAAAGCAGCTCCTTTTGATGACCAAGGAAAGTAATCCCGAATTACCGGGGGAGCTGCACAGTTTGTTTGATATTTACCTCTTACCTGGAAGCTTGGAAGAAAAATTCCCACATGTTCACTGAGGGTTTTGTGACCATGTGCTTGCTGTAGCCTCTTGGTGTATTGACTATGCCCTTCATCACCAAACAGTGTTTAAAGCTACATTTTTCTGCTAAAATGAAACCCTTTACTGGAGAGAGAAACATAAATACACAACCTTATTATAATGTTTTCCCAGTATTGGTAATCTCTGTTGAAAGCCCCTGCCCTATAACAGCAGAATTGTCCCTGTATTGACTGATACACTGAGCAGTGAAGAAATGCTGTGGTTATGTTCAGCTCTGGGCACTGGTGCCACCTTTTTCTTGCCCAGCAGTACTTACAGATTTCCATTTCACTGCCTCCCAGTCTTTGAAATATTTATTGTCTTTATAGTCATCCTGTGCAAAACATGGGATATTCAGCAGGGATGATCATGAGAGGCTCCTCAGCTGGAGTTCATGAAGTCTCATACTTTAATTGAAGTCTAATTTATAAAATCAACTTTCTACATGTTTTTTAAACCACTTGGACCTATCCTATCCTCCTTTTCAATCAAAATTGTGGCCTAACATTGCTGTGAGCAGGTAAATTATTCTCTCTCTGGTCCTGCATCTTCACATTATAGTGAGAAGCCCTTGAGAACATCTAGAAACACCTGAGTACCATTTAAGAGAATGGGCTAGAAGAGCAAAGCCTTGTTGGCAGTTCACATGTGGGACCAATATTAGAGCATATTGTGTTTTGAAAAAAAAAAAATCCTCTCCACTGGGATGCCCTGCATTCATAGTACTTGAATATTCGGGTGTTTTACTGTCTCTGTATGGACAAAGTTGTTATTTCCTGGTGCTCTGCTTGTCCCATGGCACAGCACCAGCTGAGGAGGCAAAGTGTCGTCCTCTGTGGGGCTGTGAGGAACTACGAGAGGGAGGATCTAATCCAAGCAGAAAACTTACGATGTTTGGGTTATTATGGTGCAGCCACATTGGAAGCTGAAGTCCTAAATGCCATATGTGATGAGAGAGGTGCTAGATCTGAAAAAAAAAAGGTATGTAACTGGAACAGTGCTTCCAACAGGGAGCTGGAGATCAGAGTAGAGCAGAGCACAGCTCAGAGCTGCCACTGTGGCACCTGCTCCAAGGCCAGCACCAGCCCAAGGAGTCTTGGGCTGGCAGCCAAACTTGATTCCACTCCCAGAAAAGTCAACGAAACCCTCTAAGTGCAATGACCTCATGCTCTGCTGCACCCGAGTGGCTTTTGCCAGGTTGCTGTTAATAGCAGGGGTTTATCCCAGGTACAGTCAATGGAGCACAGAGTTACAGCGCTCCTGTGAGGCTGGGCAGGGGAGTCTGGCACTAAAAGAGGCTGAAACTGCCATCTGTGGGCAGGATCTCTCTTGGCTTCAGTCTGACTGCTCTGGGAACTACCCACACATTTTCCTATTTAATCAATCCTTTCCCATGGTGCCATTCTCAATATCAGCTAATTGCTAATTGCCAACCCATAGGCAATGATAGGAGAGGAGCTAGAATTTGTTGAGGACTTCAAGACCTGTGCTGTCATCATGGTCTTTTATGTGGTAAGTGATAGAACATGCTGAAAAATTATACTAGCCAGGAAAAAGGGCAGGAGCCACTGCATATCAGGCATGTTAAACATCACTCTGTGACGGTTCTGACTGTGCAGCATTTCCTTTCTCTGTCTCCTTCCCTTAAAACATTTTTTCTTAAACCACAACACTTTGTATTTCTTTTCTTCTTCACAGACAAGCAAAGCAAATACAGAAACAATCTCCAGACATGTTCTGCAGATATTTTTCCTTCTTCAGTCTGTGTCTTTTCCTTCCAACACAAAGGTAAGTGCAGGGTTTGTTTTGTTTTAAAGGGAACATTTGAACAGTGTTTCACATAAATTATGTGGGTCAAAAGTAAACTATGATTCCAGTTATTCAGCCCATCCAAAGGAGGCAGGGTGCAGTCAGGGATGCGGTATAGGAGCGAGCAATTTACATAGGTCCCTAAACCACAATGTGTCCATTAACTGTGTAACCCCTGATGTCCTGTTCAGATCTAGCACAGGTTGATGTTTTTTACCAGAAATGCCTCCCATAAGGCTCCAGCTCTGTTATTACCATCCTTGGACCTACAAGTCCCAAATTTGTTGACTTACATACATACTGTGCAAAATCTGGTTCTGCTGTAAGGTCTGGTTAACCCAGCTGTGATGGAAACAGAAGAAAACCCTTTGGGTTGAGTAACTCCATGGCTGCCCAGAGCAGGGTCCTGGCACTAGGAGCAGCAAAGGCTCTGCCTTCCACCTCCTCCTGCCCAAAGCAAGAACAAACTCTTAATCCTTAGTGACACTTCTCTCAGGTGAGGGTGTGCCACCCTGCACCATAACACTCACCTTTCACAGTCCAAACCCTGTCCCTGTCACTGTGTGAGGGTGCAGATCTGTCACCCTCATAGCACAACTCCTGCCTTCAATGTCCAGCCACAAAACATAAATTTAGAGTTGTAGACTTGTAATTTAGAGTGGGACCCTCAGTATCCCAAGCAGCTGGAGCAGCACTGCCCACAGAGCTGAGGGGGTGTCTGTGATTGCACAGCCCTCAACCTTTCCCCTCCAGTAATACTCCTGACATTATTATGACACCAGCTGTAGGAGCTGACATTCACATGTTATTTAGGGGACTAGAGATTAGAAGAGCTGTTGAGCTGTAAGATTTGTTTCAGGTTGTCATAAATGGGAGGAAAAATGAAATGGATATTCCTTATATAGTCTGTACAAAAAGGAGTGGGAAGGAGAGATTGGGGTTTATTGCTCAAGCTTGTGATCTACAGACCTTGCTTGATTTTTCTGTGATATTTTACGAACATTCTTAAGATACTGTGTGTAACCTGTAGCTATCAACTAAGGAAATTTGCCATTTTCCCACCTCTTGAAGGTGTTAATTATTCAGCCAAGACAGCAGCATGAGCAAATGCTTGTGATTTCAATTATCTACTTGGTTTTAATAACTATTTTATACAGTTTTCTTTTGTTTGTTTGAGCGCAAGCTGGAAGCAGCTGCACACCAGATGTGCCCAGCATGTAACAGTTGTTGTTTGTGTCCCCAGGAGCTCTCTGGGCCATGGATCCAGCTTGCATGGTAGGGACACAACATCCCTCCCTGGATTTGAGAACCTTACCATGGGGTACAACAAATACCTCCGGCCCTACTTTGGTGGTATGTTGGCTCCTCACAAGGGAGCATTTAAAATCAGTCTGTAAGGCTCATGTGGAAGGGAGAGCAGGCTTTAAGTTTGCTTTAGGGTGCTACAGTTTCAAAGGTTGTGTTTCTTTTAAATCAGCTGGTGTCCCAGGCTGCCCTCCTTTCTTTGCATCCACTGTTGTCTTGAATAGCTGGTGCACGTATGTGTGGGGCTTGGGAACACGTCCAGCTGTGAGGTGAGGAGCAGGAATTTATAAACTTTAACATCTCTATGAAAGAGCTGACTAAATAACTAAATTCTGCTCTAACTGTACAAACTTTTGTTTAGAGCCTGACCCTCGTGATTTTCTGCTTTACTTTTGGTTATGTACAGCTATTACAGCTATTTATGCAGCTATAGAGGAACAAAGCATTCTTCTTGCCAGGAATATTGACTTTTGGCACATGCTTTTACCTCACACTGGGACAGAAACCTGTTTCAAATCCTGGTGAGACTCTGGGGAGTCAGGAGCAGGCAGGAATTTAGGAACTTATCTGAAGCTCTTGAGCAATTTAGGTGTCAGGTCTCCTGTCTTCCACAGTGGATACTGCCATCACACAGAGGGAAGGGTTTCTCAGAATGACATTCAGTACCTGAAAAGTATTGAAAGTTTAAGAAACAGCAATGACATTTTTATTTCTATTAATTTTGGATTTGTGTCTGAACAATTAATGAAACCCTGCTTGACAGAAACATTTCCCATCAGCTTTCACAAGGCCATGACTATTTCCCTTTGGGGACTGACCTGCTGTTACTGGCAGCCCTGAGCTGCTTCCTTTTTCTGGCCATGGTAATAGATGTCTGAGACAATATAGAATTTACCATCTTGTTATGCCTGGAATGGCTGAAATGATGCAGGACTAGAAAAGCTCCTCTAAATCCTGAGACACCAATGAGCAGACGCTTCTTTGCAATGTAACAGAGATCCACTGCATCTGCAGCAAATGCTAAACAAAAGTGGCCAGGATGCGGTGTGACCTCCCCCGGAGGCCGAGTCCTCACAGTCGTGTCCCATGGTCAGTAAATGCATCAGGCTTGAGTCTGAACAGACAGAGACGTGAACAGCTTTAAAAAATACCCATCTGCTGCAAACGAAATAGATTTATGAGCAGTTTAAAACAAACAGTCAAAGCCAAAACCACCTGGAAAGACTTTGGGAAATTGTGTCGTTCCTCACTGGGGTTTAGATGAAGAACCACAGTGTTAGGAGTTTCAGCAGGTCCAGGAAGAAAGGCACCGCTGGTTTGTCACCCAGGCACAGAGGCCTGAGCTGGAAAGCGCCGAGCCCCGCCCCGAGCCCCGCGTTCCCCCGGCACTGGCCCGGCCCGGTGTCCCCCGTGTCCCGGTGTCCCCCGTGTCCCGGTGTCCCCGTGTCCCGGTGTCCCCCTGTCCCGTGTCTCTGTGTCCCGGCGTCCCCCGTGTCCCGGTGTCCCCCTGTCCCGTGTCTCGGTG